TTTAAGGAGCCCTCCAGGTGATTCTGAGGCACGTTAAGTTGGAGAACCCCTGGCCTGTGCCCGACCCCCTGCTGCAGAGAGAAATGCCTGGCACACCTGTTTCGTGCTGGTGACAGGGCTGCTGCTGGAGGCAGAGAAGAACACGTGGAGACTGAGGCAGGGAAAGACATGAAGGCGGGGACAGACGGAGACGGAGCAGACGGTCAGAAGGGGTGACTGGTGAGCCAAGGGAGGCTCGGAGAGGTGATGTGGCCTCCTGAGGTCCCTGGTCACACTGAGCCAGGACTGCCAAGTCCCTCTCCCCGTCGCTCCATCCAGGGCAGAAAGGAGAAGCCAAAGGCTTCCCTGCCTTGTGTAGACTTTTCCCTAAAGCTCGGGTTTCAACCCACCTCGAGTGCGGCAAAACGGCCGCCACGAGCCTGGTGGCAGCATGGCCCCTGACCGTGATGACCACTGCTCCCACCTCCTGACTGTGAGCCCGACGGCCACCCGCCCTGGGACAGGCAGGCGGCAAACCTGAGGGCTTCACCAAGCCAGCTGGCATTAATTTTTATTTTTAAATCGTCCATTTTCCTCTCAGCTGTGCCCCTCTCCTCAAGGGCACGCGTCACAAACGCCAGCAGCTGTGTACATGGGCCAGCTTCAGGGCGGGCAGTCCGCACGCACCTGACTCTGGCCGGAGCTGGAAGACGCAGTGACCCCCCGGGGCAGGCTGTCCAGGGACAGAGCTGGGGGTTCCTTTGCTCGCTAAGATCCAGGAATCAGCTGTCCAAGGTATTTAACAATCCCCTTCCGTGCGTTAAACCAGGATCTTCAGCTGAACACAATGTCATGCTTTGTTTAAAAAATGACCCATCTCAGCAACGACTCCACAGAAACGAAACGTGTGAAAGATCACAGTGCTGTCCTTACTTCAAAGTAGCAAAAAGGTGCCCTGGGGACACAACTACCAGGTCCCGGAGCTGAGCTCCTTTCCCCCTGAAGTCTGAACAAACGCGTGTTAGATGACCCCTGATCATGCCCCAGCTCCACAGAGCCCTCCCCGGTGACTCCTCTGAGCTCCGGAGCTTTCTCTGGATCGCTCTTTAAAACCACAGCATGTGGCTTACAACTCGGCAAGTATTTAATAACAGTGGTGATACTAACAGTTCCCATTCATGGAGCACTCGTTACCCATGAGGCACTTTTCTAAGCCCCATCTGTGGACTGACTCTTTGAATCCACTGCCATTATACTATCTCCCCATTTTACAGATGAACAAACTGCTATATAGCAAATTGGGCAACTTGCTTATGGTCACACAGCCTACTTGAACCTGACTTCAAATGCACGTGGCTCGGCCACAAACCTGTAGACTGACGTAGATTGACCTCAGTGTT